TAGTCCAGAACATGCAAGTAAGACGGCTGAGATGGTTTAGGCACGTTCCGCATAGTCCGCCTCAGTGTTACTGCCCGGCAACGGTATCCACTTAAAGGCGTCGAGGAGATGATCAACGCATACCTATAGCGCTACCTCTGTCCTCTGAGGTTTGCGCCATTAATATTCCAGACACTGCTCGTTACAGGTTTAGATTCTTCTTTTATATCTGTTCTGCTGTACTCTACAGTAAACGTTGTGTGCAAAGTTCGCTTACGAATAAATCACCAATCAATGAGGTTGAGGAATACATTTAAAAAATTACTGCTGAACATTTATTTTTGAAGAAATTATCTGACTTTTAAAAGGTGCAAATAATTTTGAGGCACCCTATACTAGCCCTGACGACAGACTCCTGTAAGAGGGGGAAAGCATAGAATGATATACAAATTTGAAAAAAGAAACTCTGGCTACGAAGTTAAAACAGGCTTATGCAATAGAATTTATGAGTTCTAACAAATTTCTTGATGGCTTCTTTTATCCGTCTTTGAATAACATAGATAACGAATGGAAGCACACCTCAGCAGACAGAATGTCAATGCCTAACTGCAAAGAACTATCAGATGAAAGATACCTGAAACCACTTTAAAGGATTTGTATCAACTTACCCCCCCCCAAAACCCTTTCCTTTCCCATATTGTTCTGGGGCTCGACCAGTCTTTTTTTTCTTTACTCATGCAAACACCCGGACTCAGAACCTTCGCACCCATTCGAGAATTAAGGTGTGAAAATGACTCGCGGTTCACTCGATTGGGCTTTTGTATGCTTACTCTCCCCAAGGGACTGGTGTGGATGCGAGCCAGAAATACTATTAGTCTCATGCGGAAATGTTTTTGACGGTTAGAGAGCTACGTTCGAGGTCTTACTATGCTTACTTATTCTAACATAGGGTGAAAGTTTCGGGACAGATAAGCGCATTACTTCAACTATGTAGTTTGTCGTGCTAACTTCTGAAAGAAGAGGCATTTATATTGCTAAATGCCGCAACTTGTCGTTCAGGAAATTTTAATGGACTAACAATATTTAGTTGTAAATAATACTATTCATGCAGACATTGTACAGATAAGGTCTAGCCAATGTATGAACAGACTCGATAACTATAAATTCCATGCTTACCTCACCCGTAGGAATATTTATTGACATAGGAAGCTCCTCTGAGTTAATCGGATCGGGTGCACCTATCCAAATGTATAAGGTTCTTCAGCATGTTGAGTAAACGCTTCCCAGTTGTATATTCATCTTCCAGCATCTTCCCTAAGCATCGGCAGTAAGTTTCGATGAACCTATAGGAATATGCTGTTATCATGGAACATATTTTCTTTGATTTCTTCGTAATAAGCCATGAAGACTAAAACTTCGTATTGAGAAAATGACAACTTCAGCCGATTTAACTGGGACTTCTTACAACCGTGTGAGCAATCGGAACACTAATTCTAAACGGTCTACCTGGAAAACACATACTCTGAAAGTGAGTGGCATTTTTTACTTCTCCATCTACCAGTGCAAACGTTAATGCTTCGATGTAGAACACAAGTGATTTGACAAAGAAGAAACGCAAGTTACTTCTTTGTCACAGTCTATTACGTGAGTCCGCATGTTCTCGCCTTAACCACGCTTTCAAAAATATGAATTTTATCCGAAACCATTGGACCATGAAGATCTCCTTCTTTGTAGGTATTTTTTAAATAACAACCTTTTTTCCCCTCTCTATTCGTTTCTTCTTAATTTTTTGCAAGAGTGAATTATCATAAATTTAAGTAGACTCACGGGTACTGGTAGAAATATTGCGATCCACTTTGAGGGCCTCATTATGACTGAAAGACCAGCAAGCCAGAAAAAGTCCAAAAACGAGGAGTTTAGGCCTTTTACTCGGTCCCATATTAGTAAACCGCATTCAGAAGAAGAATGACCGGCTTATCTGTTAGGCACGCTCGCGGGTCCAAAGCCAACTCCCCGATTTGTATCGATCGGCAGTCATGTGAATGGAACGACCCCAAGTTCAAGGTCAGCCCGCCTTGTGACATGCAAGTTGGGACGTTTGTCGACTCGTGACGAGGGTGAATCACGTCATAGTTGGTAAACGCTGACAGTTACTTGCATTTTAGAAAGAGGATGACAATTGCAGAGCAATTTCTGTCCTAGTGACTGTTACCAGCCTCTCAGAACCCAAACCCGAGACTGGATAAACAAGCTTTGACACTCCTTGACGAGGGTTCAGCGACCGCTAACGGAAGTCACTTGGCCCACTCTGCCTTGGGTTTCATTTCTCGGGCCCTGAGAGAAACCGTAGAGGCTAGAAGTCTAGGCAGAAGTACAGTCCTGCGAGTGCTGCAAGCAACACCGTCAAAGTCGTACGAAAGCCCTTGTAGCTCGCAGAGCGTTTACCCCACGGACGCACAATTGATATTACGTCAGAGGAACAATACATCTCAAAAGGGAAAACATATTTGAATTTATAAGGTATCATTCCTTAAGGGAGAACTAATTAGTTTTATCGAAAACTGTGAAATCGGAAAAAAGGAATGAACGAGAGGTCAATCATTTAAGTCCTTGTGCAAGTGACACCAGTGTAAGAAAAAGAGATAAAAGTACAAAATAAGGAAAATTAATAAATTTGTAACATACTAATATTTCGTGGATTGTCCTTTAGCGTTCAAAACAGCCGTAAGTCGGGACGGGAAGGAGAGAACCTTGTTGTCAATGGTTGTTTGAGTTATACAATTATTGAGTACAAATTCCTGTCCAACTATATGCCAAACTACCAAGTTAAATTTTGTCATGAAAGTTGTTTGCAGGACTTGTAGTACTATACACTAACGAAAAAGATCAGAAGACTGGAATTACTATTTCTGCCTTATAAGACGTCGTCAGCCAGTCATATCCAGCCCCAAGTGGTGCACAACCCGAGGCTCGAACTCGTGATCCTTTTGAACAGAAGTCTAACGCTCTAATCCTTGAGTCGCCACGAGCTTGTTGTTTTGCCGGTTTTGGTCGGGTGATATTGACACTCGTTGATGAACGTTCACCGACTGCTAATGGAACTCACTAGTTCACTGGCTTTGGAACTCGTGACATTTGGTTCATTGAGCATCAAGTTAATAAAAAATCAAAGTTGGACAACTGACTGGGTCAACACCAAAAGATGCCGACCTCTACCGCGGCAAAGCTCCAAGTTCATTATTTTTGATTTAATTTTCAGTTTAGTTACCTTGGGATTGCTTTTCAACTTTAAAAAATGGGAAAAACCTGTCTTTCACGGTTTTACTTTGATCTCGAAAATTTGCATCTCTTTGCAGAGTTCCGCAGTCGAGTCTAGGGACTGTCTCTGTATGGCATTCAATACATATTCCTCATTATAAACATCCTCACTCAAATTGCTCTATCTAAATGCGATAAAAGTCGTGGTTTGGAAGGCGGCCGGCAACCGACAAGATAAGTGGGTATTCTCAGGAAGATGAGTCAGGCTGTAATGGGTTCTCTTTCCTACCATGGACTCCAAGGCAATACCACTCAGGTGATATCTAGGCCGTTCTCCTATTATATGTGTTAATTTCTGGTCCATGGATTGCGCTTTGAGGACACGTTTCAGTGGCACCTCTCGCCTCATCTCCCTGGGCACACAATGGAACTGCGCACGAAGATATCCAAGCTCAATCCTCGCTCTAAAGTCTTCACGCAACAGACCATACAACAGTGAAATAACCTCACGCGGTCAGCTGTGGAAGTCACTCCCCTACGGTTGTACAAACGACGCTTGGATAATTACATGCGTCCCCTGTCGTCCCTCGAAGTCTGAACTCTACCTACCAGACTTATTTGTAAAAACAATGCTACTCACTGTTTACCAATACTATTTTAGTAGTGGCAATATTTTACGCGTCTGTGTACATATGTATATGACGCACCGGCATGTAATCAATATGCTTTTCAAGGACATTGCCTATTACCCTCACCAAATATACTGAAACTGAAGTGGTGCGCGGGTCAGACGTTCCTCTTTTTACTTTTGTCAGCTCGATCACGCCCCCGATCTTATTTACTCTGTCTTAAAACCGGGTTTAGATGGGTGAGAGAGAAGGGAGTGCGGTAGATGCTGCGTAAGCCTACTACAGTGGTCGCCGGCTATTAAGCACACCTCGGGCCCAGATAAAAATTGGGCTTAATAAGCGGCTGGGTTTATTAACCATGGACTTAATACAGTAGTCGCCGTTCACTAAGCCCAAATCGAGCCCAGACCAAATTGGACTTAATAAGCGGCTGGGCTTATTAACCATGGGCTTAA